ATATTCTTATTCCAAAGCAATCTGACAAATCTATCCTTAGACTATTTACTATGTATGTATTCACAAGGCAAGAAAAGGGAATGGGGAGAGAAGGCAAGGGTAAAGAAAAGAAACAAGGGGGCAGACTCTTTGATAAAATATAAACTTTAAACTGCATGTTAACAAAAAGATGTTCAAGGACAATTTTCACGCGGAAAGAGAAGTTTCCTGAATTTCCCTTCTTGCGAGGTTTTCTTATTTTGATTCTTACTGCCATGAAACTGAAAAGTTTCCTTTTGAACTCATTTTTATAAAAATCTTGATGAAGGGCACCTGGGTGTCTCAGTCGGTTAAGCATCCAACTCTTGATCTCAGCTCAGGCCTTGATCTCAGGGTTGTGAGATCAAGCCCCGCACTGGGCTCCATGCTGGGCATGCAGCCTAATTAAAAAATAAAAATCTTGACGAGTTCTGTGTAGAAAGTATGTTCTCATTATAAATGGTGGCGTAATATATTTTCTCTCTGCATATAGCCTTCACTTCAGTCATACTCAAACATCACTGATGTCAATGACTTTTCTAAGTCATCTATCAAGTTTCCATAGTTTTATATTCATTTTTCTATCCCTTAATCCTCCAGGTTTATATTTATAGCCTCCAGCAACAGTCTAGGTGGTAAACTAGGCCACTAAGACAGGTACTACAACATGTATAGGAATATAGCTTCCGTTGCAGGGAGAGGAAAACATACTTCAACACTTAAAAGTTTTAGCAAAGAACAGTTTTGGAAGAAAACTCAAAGATCGGGAAGGAAGCTACACCAGATGGGCAGTCCCCCTTTCTCACTTTAAGTTCAAATGGCCCAGCCACTCTGCTCATCAAGACATTATCATCTTGTTTGTTGCAAATAGTTTGTTGCAAATCTTGAGGTATCCTAGATTTTGTTTCAATAAAAGAATCTCTTCCATTATAGACTGAAACATGGATCACTATGGTTATTTAAAAGAGGGAGATACAAGTAAGCAAAACAGACTGCTGAAGTTTGTCATAGTATTTATGGGGCAAGCAGACGCTTGTGCACAGATCACCTAACTGAGGAGTCATATGTCCATCCCTCAACCCTGTGTTCTTGCAAAAGCTAAAAGTAAACTTTTCCTTTTTAAAGAAATAGTCTACTTCCAAACAAGGACCTGATACAATTGATGCTGTACTTGGGCACATAAAAAGTACTACATCTCCTTGAAGTTAACCTCCTTGCTTGAATCAAAGTATTTTTTGTATTAGCCAATATAAAACATAATTAGGATAGTCAGTTTGCTGCCAAAAAACTAAGTAAGTCCAATTACTAAAAATAAGTGATTTAAAGTTATTCACTGGTTTGAATTATCTTAGCAACTGTTCTTTCAGTAACATAAAAAATCACAAGTTAACTATATCCTAAAATAGAAATCACTAAAACTGCATCTCTGATTTTCTTCAAATACTTATATAAGGAAGCACAATACTGAATTTCATAAACAGGACTATTATATTTTGAAACTGTAAACTAAATTACCAGATGAGCATTTCTCAAATCGTTCCGTGGAATGTTAATGTTCTTTGAGATTTTTCTAAGTGTTCCACAAAGAAAAAGAATATTATGGTCAAATGCATTTCAAAATGCCGAGTTAAAGTTAAAACAAGTGTTGTTTTATAGCAGATCTGAGAGACACTTTCATTCACCAAATAATTTACTAAATGCCACCATACACCAGGCACTTATCTGGGTTTGACGGTTACAACAGTGAACATGATAAATAAAATGCCTGCTCTCATGGAGCATTCTTTCTAGTGGAGAGGACAGTCAATTAACAAAAAAGCAAATAAATACAATACAGTAAAAGGGCTATGAAGACACAAAAATGGGGTAAGAGAGGGCAGAAGACACTTCTCTCTGGATGGACACATTAAGCTACAGAGCTAATGTTTTTTGTTTTTCTACATTGGGGAATACAGTACACAGAATTTCCCAAACACAAGTTGATCAGGAACCCTTTTGTCAATGAACATCTATTAATTCTATTAATAGCTCATCAAATCAATTCAAGAAGTGCTCTTCTAACCAATATGCAGACAACAGCAGGATCAAGACTTAAATATAGCTCTTCTGGTCCTAAATACAGTGTTTTTATATCTTCTTCATCTATAAAAGCAGAAATAGTAATAGTACATATCTCAGAATCATCATGAAAAATATAACGTAGCTAATTCATGTAAAACATCTGACACAGGGTTTGGTATACACTCTGCTCAATAAATGTTGTAGTTACTATTAATACAGTTACATGTCTTCCTCTGTTATCCCAAGGGGACTAATATTGCCTTCTTTTAATATCTTGAACACTTCATTTCTATCTCTTTTATAGGACTTAATTAATTTTGTTCACTCCTCTATATGGTAGATTTCTTAAAGACAGCAACCCAAACAGAGACTGTACATGGCTAAGCCACAATGAAAGCTTACTATGTAGTTGTGTATACAATATCCAAAGTGAGTTAAATGTGCATGTGAAAAAAAAAACCTTATATAAAAAAGCTATCTCCCCTCAGGGAAACACTAACCATATTATAGCAAGACTTCCATTAAGCATCTTCCTAATTATACATTTTACCTATTCAAAATACTTTAATAAATTAACATCACCAGTAATGGGTCATATTCTTCCTGATAAGATGTATTAAGATACCATTTCATGTCTTTGATATTCCTGCCAGAAATGCATAACCAGAATTATATCAAGAAAAATCAGACAAACCCAAACTGAAAAACATTCTTCAAAATAAATGACCTGAACTCTTCAAAAATGTTAAAATAAAAAAATGTTAAAATCATAAAAGATAAAGAGTGAAAATCTGTTCCTAATTACAGGAAGCTAAAGAGACATAACAACTAAATTTAACAAATGATCCTGGACTGGATCCTGAACTAACAAATTTTGTTGTTGCTGTATAAAGGACATTAGTGGAACAACTGGCAAAACTGAGTAAGAACTGTAGATTAAATAACAAATCTGTATCAATGTTAACTTCCTGATTTTGATCATCATACGGCAGTCATATAAGACAATTTCACTGCTTTTAGGAAATTCATACCGTAGTATTTATCAGTAAAGAAGCATTATATCTATAATTTAATCTCAAAGGGTTCAGAAAAATACATGGATAAATACAGAGAAAGAAATAAAATCATAAAGTGAACACAGCAAAAGAACAAGATTTGGGGGGAAAGTATATGAATCCTTTGTACTGTGAGAACATTTCCAAAAGTCTGAAATTATTTCAAAACAAAATGTCTAAATACAAAAGTAATGGGTGACAAAAAGGAAAGATGGCAAATAATCACATGAAAAGATGTTCAACATCATTAGCAACCAGGAAAAGTACAAAAACCACAATGAGATGTCACTAAAAGCAAAAAAGGAAAACTTGTCAATACTAACTGTTGGTGAGCATGTGAGGCAACCGAAGCTATCAAACATTACTGGAGGGATGGAATACAAACCATATAGTCACTTCGTAAGAAGTTTCTGAACTGTTTTCCAAAGTTAAACACACACACACCACAAGACCCAACAATCCTAGGTATTAATCTAAGAAAAATTAAAACTTATATTCAAACAAAACCTGCATGCAAATGTTTGTAGCAATTTATTCATAATCACCGAATACGGAAAACAACTCAAATGTCTATCAACTGGTAAATGGATAAACTGTGGTACATTTATATAATGGAATTCTACTTAGCAACAAAAGGAATGAATTCTTGATAACAAAACAACATGTATGAATCTCTAAAGCATTATGCTAAATGAAAGAAGTCAGCCTCAAAGGTTATATGTTGTATTATTCTATATATATTTATGATATTCTGCAAAAAAGCAAAATACAGGGAGGGAAATAGATCAGCAGTTGTTAGGGGTAAAGTTCCGGGGGAGGTTGATTAAAAATAGGCAGCCTGAAATAAAAATAAGCAGCATGATAGAATTTGGGGGGGTGGGAGGTGTTGGGACTGTTCTGTGTATTAACTATTACTGTCATTACACAATTTTATGCACACATCAAAACTCATAGAACTATATACTAAAAAGAATGACTTTTACTATATATAAATTTTAAGTATACATTATGCTCAAAAGAAATAAAGTACTTTCATAGGCACCTCATTTTATTCTCAGTCCAATAAAAACTACATAGGTACTATACTCTCATTTTACAAGCCAGGAAACTAAACTATAGCAAATAAATGTACATACAAATTACAAAGGGTAGGATGAAAATTGTAGTCCAGATACACTGATTCTACACAAATATTTTATTCTCTTAATTTTCTCACGTTCTTCTAAACTTTATGGGCCACAACGTCTCTAATGACAAACAGGATCAAAGGGAGGAAAAACAGGATCAAAGAGAGGGAGGGAAGAAAAAAAGACAAGTAGTGGAAGTGTGCCCTTTAGAATTTGACCTTTAGTCCTAGGAATTAAAAATAGGAATAGGAATAAAATAGGAAGGAATTAAAAATAATCCATAATTGAAGAAGTCTGAATAGTGATCTATATATAGGCAACAAATTAACTGACATTAAAGGACTAGCTGGTGATTTCTTCCATAAAACCTCAATTTCTTAATACAAAGCAAAAGCAAACAAAACATTTACAGGTAACCTTGTAACTATTGCTACAATTTAAGCTATCCAAAGTCTTCAGAACAATATTGAGAACAACAGTGATGGTGGCTACAATTTAGAACAGATTTTACAACTTTAAATAAAGACTTAAAAATATTTCCAAGATGCTATCACCCAAGGGTGGAAAACAATAGGGATACCTTTTCAGTTTCAGAATCAAAGAAGTGGCAATATAATCTTTGCAAAGGAAAATACTGTAAGTACAACAGCTTGGGGGTAAATTAAAGTTTAGTTTCTTCAAGAAAAAAATAAATAAAAAATAAAAAAATTACATCTGTACCAAAAATTGCATACTTCACCTAAAAACAGTGGCGTGGTTTCCTCTAAAGTAGTTGCATTAGGATCTGCCCCAGCTTCTAAAAGAATCTGTACAATCTTCCAATGTCCTTGACTTGCAGCAAGATGTAATGCACAGAAGCCCTCAAAAGTCTTTGTCTTAATGTAGTTTTCAGATGAATCTATGTAAAAATAAAAATAAAAAAAATGTGAACTGGAAGATATTGCTGCTATTTCTTGTGATTAAAAAGCAAAGATTCCAAGAAGAATTTAATGAAATATTAAAATACAATTATAAATGGGAGGCCTGAGTTTAAAACCATCTAGAAAATTTAAAAAAGAGTTCTACAGGGGTCATGATGTAAAAAGCTCTCTGGTATTCTTAACATACAAATTCTGCCCACAAACTCATTTTCTATTCTCTAATTTTTGGTGGGTAGGGGAAGAGAAGTGGCAGGAGTTGAAAGGTAACACCAAAGCAAGATCTGAAGATGATGTAGCACCAAATATTTGCTTAAGCAAGATTTACTGAAATACTGATAAATTTGATTTTTTTTATTTCTAAGTTTCTATGAAATGGTCTCATCTCAAGCATTACTTCCTTGTACTCAACTAATAACATGAAGGTAGTTCATATCACAAAAACAGTGTTTCCCAGATTAGTCAGAAACTGACGTTTATTCAGATATCCACAAAACTATAAGGTTAAGACAAAACCTAGGAACACAGAGATATATATAGATACACAGACAGCTCCAAATGGGAAATCTCAGTATTATAAAGATGCTCATTCTTCCCAAAATAATTAACAAATTTATTATAACTCTAATCAAAACGCCAAAAGAGCTGGCATTGTTGTTTGGTTGGCTGGTTTTATACTTGGTAAAGTGACTGAAGTTGATAGGGATAGGGGAGGGGAGGTAAGAATAACAAAGAAAAATAAAGAAAGCAAGAACTGAGAGGAGACTAGACTTACTTTGCATACTACACTGGATCTTAAAGTTAGAATAAGTAAAACAATGTGGCATTGACACAAGGGCAGAGGAGGGTGCCCATGAGGGAGAGGAGGAGCCATCAGAAGCAAAAAGAGATGAAGACATGATGGCTGAAAGGTAGCCGACCTATGCCAATGTTGTGTCAGATGCTGGAAAGAGACACTTTTGGAAAGGGAGGTTACAGAGAAGTAAAGGTAGAAAGCTAGAAGGAACCATATGGTACTGGATTAAAATCCAGACATCAGTATGAACTTGTATTTAGCTTTAATGCAGATATAGGTGGATAGATATAGAAATACTTTTAAGTATGTATATACACATGGGTCATAATAAATATATTTCCTAGCTCTGTCTGCTAAAGGGGCTTAAAAGTAAAGACATGCCAGTAGCCATAAGCATACTCAGTGCCCAGATCTTAATTTTGAGCACCATTCTCCAATAAAAGGAACCAGGGCTCTTAAGAAAATGGCTGATTCTAGGGTTGGCACAAAGAATATACAAAATGAGCCTGAAGCATCTCCCAGGTTCAGCAAGTTAAAAAAGTGCTCAAAAAACAAAACATGGGGGTGGAGGGATGCCTGGGTGGCTCAGTTGGTTAAGCATCTGCCTTCGGCACAGGTCATGATCTCAGGGTGCTGGGATCAAGCCCCACGTTGGGCTCCCTGCTCATAGGGGAGTCTGCTTCTCCCTCTCCCTCTGCCTCTCCCCCTGCTCAAGCTCTCTCTCTCTCAAATAAATAAATAAAATCTTAAAAAAATTTTAAAAAGGGCCAAAAAACATGGGGGCATGTCAAAGAAACACAAGAGCCAACCTGAAAGGGCACTCAATGACAAAAGCTAGAACAATCTGAGCAACAAAATAAGTAACATCACATTCAATTATAACCCAATGTATAAAATTAATACATATGAGTCCTGGCAGATATAAATGACTGAATAAATGGAAGAGAGGAGATATTCTAAATATCAGAAAAATTCCATATAATTTATGTAGATACTCCCCCCTCAAGGAAGGGAGCTTAATTCCCACCTGAGTGAGGGCCACCCTTAGTGATTTGTGCACACACACACACACCCAAAAACACCTGTGCAATTATCTATGAAATAAAGAAAAGGCACTTCTCAGGAGGAAAAATAGTGAAGTCAGTTAACTACTAAATTGAGATCTTAAAAGATTTTACCTATAGAAAAAAATAGATACTCTTAAAAAAAGGGGGGGGGGCCTGGGTGGCTCAGTTGTTTAAGCGACTGCCTTCGGCTCAGGTCATGACCCTGGAGTCCCAGGATCAAGTCCCACATCAGGCTCGCTGCTCAGCAGGGAGTCTGCTTCTCCCTCTGACTTTCCCCCCCTCATGCTCTCTCTCATTCTCTCTCTCAAAAAAATAAAATCTTAAAAAAAAAAAAAAGAAATAAAAAATAGATACATTTAAATAGCTAACTCTAAAACCACTGGACCAGAAAAGTAACATGGTTTGGCAAACACAATGGATTTGGAGTTAGAAGATATGGGCTGCAGGGGCGCCTGGGTGGCTCAGTCGTTAAGCATCTGCCTTCGGCTCAGGTCATGGTCCCAGGGTCCTGGGATCGACGAGCTCCACATTGGGCTCCCTGCCCCGCAGGAAGCCTGCTTCTCCCTCTCCCACTCCCCCTGCTTGTGCTCCCTCTCTCACTGTCACTCTGTCAAATAAATAAATAAAATCTTTAAAAAAAAAAAAAAGAAGAAGAAGATTTGGGCTGCAATCCTGGCTCCACCAATTCTATTCTGGGTTACCCTTTGGGTAAGTTACTCAAACTCTATGAAGCACAGGTTCCTTAACAGTAAAACAAAGATAAAACAGCTGATCTTTAAAAAAAAAAAAAAAAAAAAAAAAAGATAAAACAGCTGGCCTAAACCCTCAAAGGGGTTCAACAGAATTACAGTATTTATGTACTGTCACAGTTGTGAGAAATTTGGGAAAGTCTCCAAAACATCATTTTTTTCCCCAAAGCATCGTTTTAAAGATTTACTTGAGAAAGAGAGAGGGAGAACAAGCATGTACACGTGGGGGAGGGGCAGAGGGAGAGAATCTCAAGCTGACTCCACACTGAGCGTGGAGCCCGAGGAAGGGCTCAATCCCACAACCCTGAGATCAGGACCCTAGCCGAAACCAAGAGTCGGACACTTAACTGACTGTGCCACCCAGGCACCCCTCCAAAACATCATTTTAAGAAAGCGGTCAGGACCCAATATAAACTGATTTTGAAAATTCCAATAATAAACTGCCCTCCTTAACTGATTTGTGGGGACAAAAGGAACCTTATCTATCTTGAACTGGACTATCAACCACCTCTCTTTGTCTTCCTTTCCTTATAAGGATTCTTGGGGAAATGAATCATAATACTCAGTTTTTAATGCCTTAACCTCTACTTAGTTCTCACTGGAAGGCAAAGTAGTTTCTGCTTCTATTCTTATTGAAATTTTAAATGTAAAGGCATTAAAGACTTCATAATGGACAAACCCATAATGGGCACTTCAGTTCTTCTATAACAACTTGTGATTTCTTCCATGGCTGCACTTTCAGGATTGGGGCCATGTCAGCTGGACCAAATCCAGCCACCTGATGCCTGTACAGCAATGACTAGAGTTGACTTTAACTTTCTGGCAATGATACCATAACCCTATGTTTCCTAACCCAAAGTGTCCTTTTACTTATAAATAGTAAATTCGCTTACTTGTTTAAGTGAAAGATGGTAGACTTTTGTTTTCTGCAAACCCCTAATAAGGAAAGCAAAACCACATGGTTTTAAGTAGAGATTAATTATTTACATAGAGGTTAACATAGGTTAAGTATTAAGATCAGAACCTTATGTCAACAGCTGGGCCACAATCTGATGATGACCAAACAAATTTAACATGTGCCAATCACAAAGAGTGATGACTGTCCATTTCAGGTAGCTTACATAGTCACATACTTTGCACAATGTGCATCATCTCAATATGATTTAGGAATTCTAAGAAAAGGTTGGCTCCAGAGAGAAAGGCTACAGGAGGATAAAATGAACATAGAGAAATGCAGAGATAAGAGAAAGTAAGACCCTGAGTCCCGCTGACATCATTTCAACAGGAGCATCCAGCAATGCCTAAAGGGACCTACCACTCAGACTTAGTTACATAAGCACTCTCCGCCCCCCCTTTTTTTTTGAAGTTTTTCTTTTAAATTTTTATTTAAATTCCAGTTAGTTAACATACAGTGTAATATCAGTCTCAGGTGTACAATTTAGTGATTCAATACTTATATACAACACCTGGTACTCACACACTTCTTTGTGTAAACTAGTCTGAATTATTTCATTCATTACTGAAAATTTCTGATTAATATTATGAATAATTTAGCAGTGTCTATCAATATTTTAACTTTGCATATTTCCTTTTTTATTTTTTTGAGAGGCATGCGCATTTTTTATTATGTTATATTAATCACCATACATTAATTACATCATTAGTTTTTGATGTAGTGTTCCATGATTCATTGTTTGCGTATAACACCCAGTGCTCCATTCAGTACGTGCCCTCTTTAATACCCATCCCCAGGCTAACCCATCTCTCCACCCACCTCCCCTCTAGAACCCTGTTTGTTTCTCTGAGTCCATAGTCTCTCATGGTTCATCTCCCCCTCTGATTCCCCCCCTTCATTTCTCCCTTCCTGCTATTGTCTTTTTTTTTTTTAACATATAATGTATTATTTGTTTCAGAGGTACAGGTCTGTGATTCAACAGGCTTACACAATTCACAGCGCTCACCATAGCACATATTATGCTGAGCGAAATAAGTCAATCAGAGAAAGGCATATTTCCTTTTTTTAAAGATTTTATTTATTTATTTGAGAGAGAGAGAGAGAGAGTGAGGGAGAGGGAGAGAGAAGGTGAAACAGACTCTGCGATGAGCACAGAGACCAACTCGGGGCTCAATCCCACAACCGCAAGATCAGGACCTGAGCCAAAACCAAGAGTCAGACGCTTAACCCACTGAGCCACCCAGGCACCCCTGTATATTTCTTGCACCAGCAACTTCACTTCTAAAACTCCATCCTATAGAAACACACACCCATGTGCACAAAGTTATAAGGATGTTAACTGAAGCACCACCTATAATAGCAAAATTTTAGGAAACAAGATGCCCATCAACAGGAGAATGATTAAACATATTGTATCTATACTATGAAACACTTTGCAACAGTTCTTTTACTCAGAATGAAATGGGGAGCTATTGCAGAGTTCTCAGCAAAACAGAAAGACATCAGTCTGACATATTGTAAAAGGTTCTGATACACTACAACCAGACTGTGGTAGGATGGGGAAGAAGCAAGAGCAGAAACAGATTTGTCAGGATGCTATTACAGCAATCCAGGTCAAGAGATATGTGGCTCAGACCAAGGTCTTAGTGGTCTGAGGTAGCGAGAAGTGATGTGAATATATGTACGAGAAGTGATGTGAATATATGGACGCATATTCACACAGATACACACACACACACATATATACACATATACAACATAAAGATTTGCTGATTGGGTGAGGGATGTAAGAAAAAGGAAGTAATTAAGGATGGCCCACAGTTTCTGGCCTGAGCTGGAATGTTAGAATATATTTTTTTTTTTGAAGATTTTATTTATTTGAGAGAGAACAGGAGTGGAAGGGGCAGAAGGAGAAGCAGACTCCCCACTGAGCAGGGAGCCCAACACGGGGCTAGATCCCAGGACCCTAGGATCATGACCTAAGCCAAAGACAGACGCTTAAAAGACTGAGCCACCCAGGCACCCCTGGAATGTTGGAATATTTCTAATCTTATAGAAGAAGAAACAGAAGCACCAAAAGGTTAAAAGACCTGTCCAAGACCACACCAATAAAGTGGCAGAGTCAGCAGAACCCAGGTCCATCTGAACACAGCTCTTAATCACTGCTACACTGTTATTTACCTAATGATCTTCAGCATCTGTTATCATGCCCAGTATGACAGCACAATATTTTCTTAACCTGAACTAATAAAAAGTACTATGAATTAGTTCATATATTTGCCAAATAAAAATATTTGTTGGTGATATGCTACAATTATAAGATTTTAAGTGACCTTTAGTCAGTAAGTGGTTTAATACTGAATAGCATGATTAACTGCCACTGAAGATCATTATTGTCCTCCAAGATGAAAAGATGCATGAAATCTCAGTACCTATTACATAAACTTCCAACACAGGAAAGAAGACAAGCAAATCTATTATTTATATTAATACTTCAAATAGAAAGTTAAAGTGAAAAAAATATATATGCATATTAAATTTCCAAGTAATCCATACCGCAATTGAACGCTCTTCTCCAACATGGATGAGAAGACCATGTATGGTTCTTAGGCTAGATTCTGGATCTAAACTGAAGCAACAATAAAGCAAAACCTTTCTAAATATCTAAGATGCTTCCATTCTTTTCGTGTAGGCCTGAGCACTTTCATAACTTTAGTATGCTAATAAAAGGTATATTTTAAGAATCTCTGGCAGTTCACTAATATTAAATGAAGTTCAAGAAGATAGAAATTATATAATGAAAGACGCTTTTATGTATACCAGCAGAGCTGTAAAGGACAAGAGAATTATGAATTAAATAAAACACAGGTATAGCAAGTATAAAGAATAACAGAAATGTCAAACTTGGTTTGGAAACTTTTAAGATTAACCCATAATATCGAGTTAACTGGTACAGATATAAAGATGCCACTGTCACCAATAAGCAGAAGAGACCTTACTTTACTCCTCAAGACTAAAAACCCCTGTATTTCATCATTATTTTAAAATACATCCTCAGGGGCACCTGGGTGGCTCAATCGGTTGGTCATCTGCCTTCTGCTCAGGTCGTGATCCCAGGGTCCTGGGATAGAGCCCCATATCGGGCTCCCTGCTCAGCGGGGAGCCTGCTTCTCCCTCTCCCTCTGCCTACCTCTCCCCAGGCTTGTGATCTCTCTCTCTGTGTCAAATAAATATATAAAATCTTTAAATAAAATAAAATAAAATAAAATACATCCTCACAAGGGCCCGAGATGCCCTTCAACAGATGAATGGATAAAGAAGATATAGTACATATATACAATGGAATATTACTCAGCCATCAGAAAGGATGAATACCCACCATTCGCATCGACATGGATGGAACTGGAGGGGATTCAGTGAAATAAGTCAAGCAGAGAAAGACAATTATCATATGGTTTCACTCATATGTGGAACATAAGGAATAGCACAGAGGACCACTGGGGAAGGGAGGGAAAACTGAACATGAAGGGGAAGAAACCAGAGAGGGAGACAAACCATGAGAGACTATGGACTCCAGGAAACACAGTTTCAGAAGGGAGGGGCGTGGGGGGATGAGGTAGCTGGGCGATGGGTATTAAGGAGGGCGCGTGTTGTGATGAGCACTGGGTGTTATACACAACTAATGAATCACTGAACATTACAACAAAAACTAATGATGTACTATATGGTGGCTAACTGAACATAAAAAAAAAAAATCTTCACATGTAGCAAGCAGCTACCATTCCTCACTGGTCAATGTTCCTGAACTTGAATCATCCAGGTTAAGTTTAAATTGTAATCTTTTTTAAGAGGCAAGGGATCTAGGGATGCCTGCATGGTTCCGTCGGTTAAGCGTCTGCCTTCGGCTCAGGTCATGATCCCAGGGTCCTGGGATGGAGTCCCACATCGGGTTCCTTGCTCAGCAGGGAGCCTGCTTCGGCTTCTCCCTCTGCCTGCCACTCCCCCTGCTTGCGCTCTCTCTCTCTCTCTCTGACAAATAAATAAATAAAATCTTTTAAAAATTAATTAATTAATTAATTAAAAGGCAGGGGATCTGAATAAAGTATGGACTTTAGTTAATTTACAAAGGGGGGGATTGGCCATAAGAATATATAAAACATTTTTTAAAGTGACCAATAGGCTATACAGCCTTTCTGCCTCATTCTAGTTGTTTTCTGGTTAGTGAATCAAATAATCAGATATGATAGAATTTTGGACCCTAGTTCCAACTACAGAGAACAACTGAACTCATGGAAGACTGAGACCAAAAATGTCACCACCTCCTAAAACAAGTCATATAGCTGCTTCCTGGTCTCTGTACACCCTACTTTCCAATCCTTGTATACAAACTACATGTAAACCAGATTTATCCAAAGTTTATTTCATAACCGTGAACTCTAATAAAAATACAATTAGAAAATTTTACTTGACCATTTATATAAACTATTCACATAATTAACTATGTGTGGCTATCTTATCCTCCAAAAAAATCAAGCCTAAAAAAGAACAGTCATTAAAAATGAAGGTGATACTTAAAATTTCTAACAGAAAACATAGATGACTTGAATAGCCAATTCAAACACATTTAGTCAAAAGCATGCCTAAGTACAATCTGCAGCTATAGGAAAAAAAACTAACATAAACATAAACATAACATAAACAATATTATTCTGGTGTGGGGAGAAATAACATTGGGAATGACCTTTTTGACTAGAAAAGAATATCTAAATTTATGCCTTTATCACTAGAGATAGTCTGGGAACTCAAGCTATAGAATTAACTTCAAATTCTAAAAGCACATATCAAGTTTTTAAAATCTAAGGCAAAAAGTCTATTTATCTAATATCTCTTAAGAGTCAACTATAACAGACTCTAGAACATGTGCTTAGCAGTCATAATGAACTTTCTGTATTATGATTGGGGGAATTTAGCCTTGCCATCCCTCATTCCTGAAAACAAAACAAATAAAAATCAATGCCAAAAAAACGGAAGGATTATTTCCTTTCCCATTCATGAAGCCATGAGTTAGTAATTCTGATGAACTATGGCACCAGAGTCTAAATTTTGAGTAGCTATACCTGTGATGACAAGTACACAGGGAAGAATCAGAATTCCCATGATCAATGAAATATAAATGGTTCACTGAGTGTTAAAACAGAGTGTTATATTCAACCTCAGTTTAAATTAACTAAATGCTAAAAATGTTTACTTTGATTAAATGTTGGAAGCATGCTATTGTGAAAAAAAGTGGGCTTTACAGAGAGAAATGGGTTCTAGTTTATTATATAATCTTTGGACAAGTCAAGTTCTCTGAGCCTTGGTAATTTTCTCACCAATAAAATGGAGATAACAATGCCTCAAGAGCAGTTTGGTACATATTAAATAATGTAAATCAAGTATCTAGTACAATGTTAAAAAGCAGTGCTCACTCACTATTATCCCCCTCACTCCGGCCCACCATCTCCTGTCACAGTCTCTCATTTAGACTCTTGTCCTTTTCTCAGTAGTGAGCTGACAAATGTATCACTGGCTCTCAGAACGGGGGAAAAAAAAAAAGCCCAAATTTATAGCATTGGTTATAGTACTGGCTGATTTCTGCCCATGTAAATATTCCCACTTGACTGATCTCAGGTTACAAGCATGAAGTCAACTGAATACAGAATTGGAAAGAGATGCACAATAGCACACGGCTAATCTCTGTCCCATTACCCTTTTATTCTCTCCACAACACTTTTACATTTGGAAATTATCTTGTTTAAATATTTAGGTATTGTCTGTCTCCCCTGACAGGAATTTAAGCATCATTAAGGCAGGGACCTTGTCTATCCTATTCTCTACTGTGACCTTGGATTAAAAAAAAAAAAAAAGTAATTGGAAAGATTACTGAAATTAACAAAACTGAAAAGTATTAAAAAAAAAAAAAGACTAATTCAACCAAAGCACTCACACCCTCAATTCCAGTAACATTGTTCCTTTTGTTTGGAAAAGGAAGAAGGAATAAAAATGACTACTAACTACCAAATGCTTAATTAAAAGAGCTCAGACAGTAAAAATGGGCCAGGCACAGCAACTTACATATCAAGGACAACATTTATAGATGTCCAGCTGAAACACCATACTTATGTAACCCAAGGCAGGCAATCTTACCATTCTTAATAATGCATAGGCAATTCTTTTATGGTTATAGAAAAGGAAAACAAATACTACCATTAATAAATCATATATTACCATTTGCTTATGTTTCATTAATCCAGTTTGTAGGCCCAGCCTCCCATACCTTGAATTTACTTTACCTGCATGAATTAACATCCGTAAACATTCTACAGAGTTGTGATAAGCTGCTTCATGAATTGGCATCCATCCCCTGTTATCAGCAACATCAACGCTACGTCCCTTTTTGAGCAGTTTTCTTAAGACTTTAACATTGCCTTCCCTGGCAGCAAGTCCAACCGTGGAGCATGTGTCAGAGTAAGCCTCTGTAAAATCCATTCTTTTGACCAGTCTACAAAACAAGGCAGAAAAAAAACACTATAGACAATAAAACAACACTGCACTCCTAGAGATTAGCAGACAGAAGCAGGTCTGTCCTGCATCTGTCACAAGACTGCTGAGGAAAAGCCTGAGGTGGAGTAAGCGACCTGTCATGCCACAGCTTCTGCTAGAGTCTAAACCAGGAAGTGTCCCTGGGGAATTGGGATTCCTTGGCATGCTCTTATTAAAGATACCAAGAGAGTTTTAAGTGTTCTATCATTCCACTTCTGGAAATGTCTGAGCAGCTCCTTCCTGCAGGCTTCCGCTCCTGTTCATATCCACCAAAGTGCATTCACTAGAACTCTGTGGATGAAGGAGCTAAACACCTCCAGTTAATCCCAAATGTGTACTCTTATTACATAGAGATGGCCATTTAAGTAACAGCAATGCTCAGCCTCAAGAATTAATTTGTAGTCCTCTCCAGGAAAAAGCTAAACCCAAAAAAGCTAGAAAAGGAATGAACAAAGGGAAAAAAAGAAAAAGATAAGTAAAAATTGTAGTTTTTCTCCTGGTCCTTTCCAAAAGGGGCTACACATTCACGTTCTCTTTCCTTGATGAAACAGTCCCACTGATGGAATATACTGAATATACTGAAACGAACAAGAGCATCATAAAAAGATGAGTCCACCTTTCCTATACCAGCCCAGAAAGTTCTTGACAGTGTTAGTGCCTCTTTCTCATCATCTCCCTCCAAAGTTCATTCCATGTTCCCCCAGTATAGCTCTCAGTATATGATTCTCACAAAGACAGTTTCTTGTTAATCACACTATGAGGCTAAGGGTCAGGATTCTCAGGGGAAGAGTTACCTCCCAAGGGACAATCCCTCTCAGTAATACTCCTAGCCCAGCCTCCCTTAGTCTTTCTAATTATTTTAGAAGGTGGTTCAGGAAATGCCAACATGTCTAGTCCAATACAGGTGAAAAACTTTCTAGAACCACATTCTAAATCATTTATCCAGAAAATTAAGGTTTAAAAGAAGTTAAGGGGCGCCTGGGGGGCTCAGTCAGTTGAGCGTCTGCCTTTGTTTGGCTCAGGTCATGATCCGGGGGTCCTGGGATTAAGCCCCAAGTCAGGCTCCCTGCTTGGTGGGGAGCCTATTCTCCTTCTCCTTCTGCCGCCTCCCCCCCGGCTTGTTTGCTCTCTCTTTCTCTGTCAAATAAATAAACAAAATCTTTAAAAGGCGAAGTTAAAAGAAAGTACACAGCATTTCCGTAGGAAATTTAAATTTATCCATGGTCACATTTTTTTAAAAGATTTTATTTATTTATTTGACAGAGAGAGAGAGCACAAGTAGGCAGAATGGCAGGCAGAGGGAGAGGGAGAAGCAGGCTCTCCGCTGAGCAGGGAGCCAGACATGGGGCTCGATCCCAGGACCCCAGGATCATGACCTGAGCCGAAGGCAGCCGCTTAACCGACTGAGCCACCCAGGCACCCCCATGGTCACATTTAAATAGAAAGCTATAACTGCAGGAGTGATTCTACACTGCGCCAAACAGCTAACAGTAGCTATGGATTAATCTGATTGGATCAACTGGTCCCTTACTAGGAAAGTGAAGATATTGACTACAGAATATTTAATTATGCAGTTGACGGTTATTTACTGTGCAACAACTAGCTCATCAGTAATGTGGCAGATATAAAGATGACACAGACTTACATACGGTCTCATAGAAATGATAAACAACATGTTATTCAAAAGAAAGGAAGAAAGTGCTCCAAGAGAAGTACAGATAAAGAGTCCTGGGTAGTCAAAGAAGGGAGAAACTACTTCAACTTGTGAGGGATGTGAGCTGGGCCCTTAAGTACAGGAAGAATCTGACAATGAGAAAAAGGGCAGAGGAGCATTCCTAGGCAGAAGGAGAAACACAACCAACACTATGTAAATGAACAGTCAAGGGTGAATAAGGGACAGTGAATAAGGAGAACAACTAGTTCACTTCTGAAGGAGAATTAGCTAAACAAAGAACTGGAAGAAAAGGAGCTTAGAGAGGCAGCTGAAGGCCAAACTGTGGAGAACCTTGAATGTTAGGCTACACCTTTGTTGAAAGATGCTAATTTCCAGCTAAAGCCATTATAGCCAAGCTTCACAAAAAAGAACAGACCATACATTTATGGCAATTTATGGCATATTCATCTAATACAAGAAAAAATTGTTTCTACGGGGGGCGGAGCAAGATGGCGGAGGAGTAGGAGACCTGGATTTCATCCGGTCTCAGGAATTCAGCTGGATAGGGACATTCTGAACACCTACAAACTCAACAGGAGATCGAAGAACAGAATAGCAACAACTCTCTGAACAGAAAAGTGACCACTTCCTGGAAGGTAAGACGTGCGCAGAAGTGAATCCGAGGCAATATTTGGGAGGATAGATGGCGGGGGAGGGGGCCTCCGTTGGCCACTTCTGGCAAGTGATAGAGCAGTGGAGCACAAAATCGGAACTTTTATAAGTCGGCTCCGCTGAGGGACGACGCTCCAGTGGCTAAGTGGGGGCGGAACCCTCGTGGGACAGTGTGGTCTCAAGACCCTCGGGGTCACAGAAAGACCGGGGTTGCCTGATTGCGGCAGAGCGCCCAGGTATCGGAGAGGGAAGTCAGCTGCAGAGACGGAGCCGAGGAGTGGGCTCTCAGCTTGGGGTTGCCATAAACCGTGATCCCGGCACAGTCAGGCCACTGCTCCTCCAGCAGGGACCCAACAAGCGGCAGATCCGGGGAGGCTCCCCTTCCTCCCCCGGGAGGAGCGGCACTGGAGTGCACCACAGGGATCTGCTGGGTTTGGAGACTCCACACCGAGTCGGGTGCCAGAGATAGAAACGCTGGGTCACAGGCCGGGTGAGCACGGAGTGCGGCCGGAGACCAGGGAGACGGGAGTGACTGACGGCTTTTCTCTGGGGGCTCACTGAGGAGCGGGGCCCCAAGTTCTCGGCTCCTCCCGGGCGGAGATTGGGAGGCCGCCATTTTCACTCTCAACCTCCAAAGCTGTAAGGAAGACTTGCAGGGACAAAAGTTCCCGAGAGCAAACCCAAGCAGATTACTTAGCCCTGACCGGGCAAGGGCGGGGCAATTTCACCTCCTGCAAAGACATCTGGGAACCACGGCAACAGACCCTTCCCCCAGAAGATCAGGGAGAACAGCCAGCCAAGACCAAGTTTACCGATCAATGAGAACAGCAGAACTTCAGCACTAGGGGAATAATGCACATAGAATCCATGGCTTTTTTACCATGATTCTTTAGTCTTTCAAAGTTAATTTTTTTTTAAACTGTCTTTTTTTTTGAATTTTTCTTTTTCCCTTTTCAACCAACATCTTATCAATCCCTTTTTTAAAAAACATTTTTATTTTTCATTTTTAGAGTCATATTCTATCCCTTCATAGTAGTTACCCTTATTTTTGGCAATATATATATAAGTTGTTCTCTCTTTAAAAATTTTGAGAGAGTTTCTTCTAACAGATCAAAATATACCCTAAATCTCTAGTGTATGGTTTTGTTCTACTCTCCTGCCTGACCACATTCTCTCCCTTTTTTTTTCTTTTCTTTTTAAATCCTCTTCTTTCTTTTTTCAAACAACTTCTTACCAATTCCTTTTATAAAAATTTTTATAATTTTCATCTTTACAGTCATATTCCATCCCTTCATCATATCAACCCTTATTTTTGTACATATATAAGTTTTTCTTTCTTTAAAATTTTGGGAGGCACTTCCTTCTAAAAGACCAAAATACACCCAAAATCTAGTGTGTGGCACTGATCTATGCACCAGCCTGATCATATTTGATCATATTCTGGTTTTTTTTGTTTTGTTCTGTTTTTCTTTGTTTTTATCTTTTTCTTTTTCTCTTTTTTTTTCTTTTTCTTTTTTCTTTCTTTCCCCTTCTTTTCCCCCAGCTTCAGGTCTTTTCTGATTTGTTTAGAGTATATTTTCTGGGGACGTTGTTACCCTGTTAGCATTTTGTTCTCTCATTCACTATTCTCCTCTGGACAAAATGACAAGACGGAAAAAATCACCTCAACAAAAAAAACAAGAGGTAGTACCGACTGCCAGGGACCTACTCAATACGGACATTAGTACGATGTCGGATCTAGAGTTCAGAATCATCACTTTAAAGATACTAGCTGGGCTTGAAAAAAGCATGGAAGTTATTAGAGAAACCCTTTCTGGAGAAATAAAAGAACTAAAATCTAACCAAGTAGAAATCAAAAAGGCTATTAATGAGGTGCAATCAAAAATGGGGGCACTAACTGCTAGGATAAATGAGGCAGCAGAGAGAATCAGTGATATACAAGACCAAATGATGGAAAATAAAGAAGCTGAGAAAAAGAGAGATAAGCAACTACTGGATCACGAGAGCAGAATTCGAGAGATAAGCGATACCATAAGACGAAACAACATTAGAATAATTGGGATCCCAGAAGAAGAAGAAAGAGAGAGAGGGGCAGAAGGAATAGTGGAGCAAACTGTAGCAGAGAACTTCCCTAATCTGGGGAAGGAAACAGGCATCAAAATCCAGGAAGCACAGAGAACCCCTCTCGAAATCAATAAAGATACGTCAACATCCCGACATCTAATAGTAAAACTTACAAGTCTCAGAGACAAAGAGAAAATCCTAAAAGCAGCTCGGGAGAAGAGATATGTAACCTAAAATGGTACGAACATTAGACTGGCAACAGAACTACCCACAGAGACCTGGCTGGCCAGAAAGGACTGGCATGATTTATTCAGAGCACTAAATGAGAAAAATATGCAGCCAAGAATACTATATCCAGCTAGGCTGTCATTGAAAATAGAAGGAGAGATAAAAAGCTTCCAGGACAAACAAAAACTAAAGGAATTTGCAAACACGAAACCAGCCCTACAAGAAATCTTGAAAGGGGTCCTCTAAGCAAAGAGAGAGCCTAAATGCAACATAGACCAGAAAGGAACACAGACAATATACAGTAACAGTCACCTTACAGGCAATACAATGCACTAAATTCA